CAAACCTTAAACACCAACTTTAACTCCATTTACAGTGTTCACCATTTTCATTTTGAGCATGTGCAGGTTGAGTTCTATAGGCTGATTCAAGGACATTCAAGGCAAGCTAGCTATTGGAGAAGGTCAAGTGAAGTTCAGGCAAGCTACCAGACATCTCAAGCCTTGTTGAAAATCACCATATTGCCCTACACGAATCCAACTAAAACAGGTTTTTCTCCACTTTCTATCTCTCTATTTAGGAACATTTAGCCTTAGGTTTGTGAATAAAAAATGTAGTGTTCATTGCCATGAAGCTGTACATATGCTCAGTTTTCATTTATATTAAGTGTGCTAGGAGAATTTCATCCATGAACATGCTAAAAAAACTAGGTCAAATTTTAGGGCCAGAGAAATTCTCTCTGGTCTTTGAGAGTTACGATTAGTTTTTTATATGGTTGGAATCGTCTTGCAATTCTCTACAAGGTTGAAGATGAAGTTTTGGGCTGGGCTTGGCCTGACTTGCTTTTGACACCTCCCATTTTCATTTTTGCACCCCCTGGCCCAATTTCTTGTATTTTTACATTTTTGCATTTTTCTTTTAATTTCTGATTTTGTTTATTTATTTCCAAATATAAAAAATGCTTAAAAATATTTTCATAAATTTTTTACATTTATTTGGCATTTTATTTTAATTTTTCTAACTTGAAAAAGTATTTAAATACTTTTATATTATTTATTAAGACTTGAAAAATATATATAATCATACTTTTTATTTTTATTCTTTATTTTTATTCATACTAAAAATATTTTCCTAAATATAGTTTATTTTTATACATATTTTATTTTATATTGTACATATTTAATTTGATTAATACATATATATAAATATATACTTTTTATTTCATTAAATACTCTAGAATAAAAAATATAAAATATTATATTTTTATTTTTATTATTATTTATATTAAAAATTACTTTTTCTAAGTATATTTCATTTTTGTATATATTAATATATCTTATTGTATGTAAATAATATAACATTTTATTTTCTTAAAGAAATTAGGGTTTTACCCTTAAACAATTAAAATAAATCTTTTATTTATTTCTTTATTTCTTACATTAAATACTTTTACATACATAAACAAACAAAAACCTTTTTTTGCATATTTCATTTTCTTTGATATATTTATTTATTTTGTCTATTTAAATATTATCCATTTATTATTCATGCAATTAAATTTAATTTGGATGTAATAGTAAACTAGGGTTTATATTTCTTGCCAAATACCCCCCATTCAAAGTTTGTACCCCCATCCCCATAATCATGTTGTAATAGCTTAGAATTTTAATTCTCGCACTTTACGCTTTCAATTATGCCATGATTAGAGAACTAGGGTTTGTATGCAAAAAAATCCAAAATCAACAAATAGTTTGACCTAATCAAAGACAAAAATGCATGAAAATCAAACACAACGCACACTTGCACCCCTAGGGTTACAATCCACTTGTTGCCTTCAAAAATGGGCCATGTTATGCATGTTGGATACTTTGGCAAAACAAAAACAAAACAAAAGATCATAGTCTCTCGATGACGCTATCTTGGTTGCCTAAACAAAAATGATCAAGTCCCTCAAAAATTTACCAAAATACTTAACACAATTGCTATCATGGTCTATACGATGACCCGCGCCTGTCCCGTTTAACATCCTAACACAAGGTTGTTCACCAAATGCAATGGTGAAACAACACTGTCAAAAGGGTTAAAAACATAAGAAAGATCTTTGAGTAAATTAGGGTAGATAGCTCTTAGTTGCTTGATCAAAAAGCTTGCAAAAACATCCTTGCTATTTTCAAACACACTTCACAATACAATTTCAAAACATTATCCAAATCAAACTCTCAAACATTGAAAACTTTTCAAAAGACAAAAACACCTTTATATACATTTCAACAAGAATCATTACAAAGGTTGCCACAATGATGGCCTCTTTTCAAAACATCTTTCAAAACCACACACAAAGCACCATTTCAAACAATTGAAAGGCAAAAGCAAGTGATCTAAATAAGTAACTAAGAGCCCATGGATAACCATGGATGAAAAGGGTGCTTGCACCTTCCCTTTTCATAATCTACTCCCCGAACCCAAGTAAACATCTCAAAGGTCTTTCCTGTGCTTTTTGACCTTTCCTTAGGATAAAATAAAAAGTCGGTGGCGACTCTTGCTAAACCGAAACATTTGCGAACACAAAAAGCAAAACCTCAAGTCAGTTCTCCCACCGTATCACATACTCCCTTACCTGATCTCTCGGTTGTAAGACCGTGATTTCATCCCTTAAGGTTTTCTCGATGTTTACCTTTCCCTATAGGCGGAATAAAAGACGTTCGATGGAGATTTCATTGATTTTATATCTGATGAAGGTTCGGCTGGTTGTTTCATCTTCACCTCAAAATTGTCTAGTGTAGAAATTCCAAAAAAAGTACATGTTGCTCTAGAAATTCCAAGTGGATAGAACACTACAACAAATAACACTTTTCATGACTAAACTTTCACATCAACCAGAAAAAATCGAGGTTTTTCACCATCGCACCCCATATAATTAAAAATAAAAAACTTGAGCCCTTGTTTATCTAGAAAACCGCGGTGAAATACCATTCCGGACAAGCTTCGAATCCCAGCTACGTCACTTTATTTTTCTATTCGTAACAAAGTGTAAAATAAATGATCTAACCCTTCGATTTCTTTAATAAGCCGGATGATAATAATCCGATTTGACTATGAAAACACTCGTTGAACAGATTTAACCCTAATGTTATCCTATTTGTAGCCACCCCCACCATTTTTTTTGGGATGGATTGCAAAATTGAGAAAATGTTATTCTACCTCGAGCAAAACATTTTTTCAGCTTTTGCGATCCATCTCAAACAATGATGTTTATGTTGTTGTTCTTGTTGAAGGTTTTGAACAGCTATGATATATTCGTCGTTACTGATGGATTGCAACTATAGAAAAAACATTTTCCAATTTTTGTAACAGGCACCTTATTAGAAGTTGGAAGCATTCAAACTCACTGTCTACGCTAGTGAAGGCAGTGATAATGGTAGCGCAATGATCCATCTATGTTGCAATGATAATCATAGCATAACAACCAATATTGGATCACTAGCATCTTGTATGGGACCTGGATATTCTGCATTTTTAATATTCTGAGTAAATAATATAATCATTAAAAAAAATTTAATTTAACCCCTTGGTTTATTTGAAAATTCGAGGGGTTAGTTGAACTAACCCCTCAGTTTTATTCCAAAATCGAGATGATATTTAATTTCGTTTATTTAATACATAGATTTGTTTGCTTCTACAGTTTCTATTCATTGATGAGGTAATATCGTTCTTTTTTTCCTTGAAAGTTAGTCCTCTTATTATCATATATGTTTGTTGGTCTTTTGTGATATGTCCTTTATGAATGTTCACTTTCACAAAATTTCTAATTGTCATGATATGTAACTAGCTTATTCATTAAGTAGGTTATCTTTAACCATTGAAATTTTTAGCTTTCTATTTGAAGTTGAATACTTATAAGCCACAACAAGAACTTCTCAGTTTTCAGGGAAGAAATTAATCAATAATAAGGTTTATAAAACACTAAATTCAACTTAAGATCAATACATATAAATACACATAATTGTGAAACACACTCATATGTTATGTCATTGAGTGGTCATCTTTCTATTTCATATTAACCAACTTTAAGATCAAACATATTTTATTTTGTATGTTCTTACACTCCTACAACTCTTTGAATTTATTTCATATTTTCTTAGCATTAATTTATTTTATTTTGTATGTTCTTACACTCCTACAACTCTTTGAATTTATTTCATATTTTCTTAGCATTAATTTATTTTATTTTGTATGTTCTTACACTCCTACAACTCTTTGAATTTATTTCATATTTTCTTAGCATTAATTTTGATTTTAACATGTAGATATAAATTAAGTCTAACCATTGTTTACTTATATAAGTTATTTTTCTATTCATTTTCATCTAGTCAACATCTAACTTATCACCAAATTTAGCTTTTTTTCCATTAATAGGATCATACAGGTCTTTGTTATTTAACATTTCTTTCATTAAAGTCTTTTATAATATATATTTTCTCAATTTTAAAATGACTGTCGTTTTATTAAACAAATTTTATTTCAAAATAATTATCATTTTCACTTTTCAATTACAATTTTTTCAATTGAACAATTTACTTTTTACTCTCTACACTACTTCCAATATATTAATAGAGTTAATTTTATAAAAATATAATGTATTATGACAGCATTATTATATTTTTTAATTTGTGTGCAAAAACCTTAAACGACTATCATTTTAAAACAGATAGAATAATTAGTAGAGTTGAACTTAATCATATTTAACTCTAATTTTTCTCTATTTGAAAAATTGACAAACGAAGTCAAACTAGACTCGAAATACAACTATTAGAAAAAACCAAATAAATGGGTCTCTTTGAAGTGAAATGTTTTTCCAAATTTCTGCAATTAAATAGACAACCAATAAATTCAATTCTAGATCACAATAAATGAATAACAGGTCAAAGTTACTATTTTAGGAGATGATCACAAAGAAAAGAGATATACATAATTTATTGGAGAGACAATTTCACTGAAAATTCAAATGAGATTTTAATAGCTCTCGCTAGTAAAATTACATTGATGTATTTTTCCGGTACACTTTTATAATTTTATTTTTTCACAATGATTCATTTTCTTAAACACCAAGATATATAATTGAGAAATCTGTCAACCACAATTTTATTTGCACTAAACCTTTAATACAATAGATAAAGCAAACAAAGAAGGTTTGTATTCTTCATATAATAGAAGAACAATAATGAAGGAGTAAGAAATCAAGAATATTGCAACAAAAAAAAAACACACACACACAAAGTACACAAATATGACAAAGAAACACATGAAATTGTAAATATGGTGCCAATGAATAATTAATATTCTAAGGGCACTGAAAACCAGAGTTGTTCAATCCACAATTGTTGAGAATGACACTCAAAGCAATAGGAACATCAAGGTGAAGACCAAGGACATTAGCTTTAAGGGCAGTGCAAAGACATGCAGCAACTTCAAGATTAGCAAGACCCTTAATTAGGGTGCAACAAGGGAGCGTTGGTGGAGACCCCACTTTAACATTTACCAACTTCAACACATTTGCACACACACCTAATTTAAGTGCATTTATAGGACATGTAGCTTTTGGATAAGGGTCAACTATTGGGTTTGGGATTGGGACTGGGATTTCAGGGATGATATAGTTGGAGTTCACCATAGTGATGAAGAAAAAATTGAGACATAGGAAAAATGCAACACTAATAATCTTAGAAGCCATTTTACAAAACTAATTAGTTTTGCTATAGGATGCTTGTGGATTATATTAATTTGAATGATGAAAAAATTAGTGAGGTTAGAGGGGATTTATATGTGTTTTGATTATGTAATGTTAATTAAAAATTAATTAGTTAAGTAAACCCGTGAACACATGATGGTGGAGTATAATTGAGATTAGAGATGCTTAATTATCAAGCTGGCACCCTGGCAAGGCAACACAAGTTTATTATATGATAATTGTTTGAAATTTTGTTGTTTATTATAGAATTACTGTAGCATCAAATGTGTATAGTAAGTTTTTTTGGATGGTATGAAATAAATAATGTTTATGAATGAAGATATATTAAAAGTAGTACATGAATGTTTTTATATATGTATAAATAAATCAGAAGGTTACAAGTATAAGATAAAGTAATCACATAAATCAAAAAGAAACTAGCTGGACCACTACCATTGCAAAGCAAAGAGAATAACCATGTCATTCAGTGCCAAATTAATAGTCAAGAGTATAATTGAGTTTTTCACGAGCCTTTTGTATTGGGTATTATTTGTTTGTGTGCTATTATTATTCATTATCATGTGATTACAAAGTTAATATTTGGAAATTTTTATCCAATACCTTAATAATTTTATCTTCACCACTACATTTTATAAGATAATATTTGGATAATTTTATACTCACCACTATATTTTACAATGATTTCTCTTCATGCAATCGTATATATGCACTAAAATCATCAACAACAAAAATCTTTGTTTTTAAATAGATTTGATAAAAAAAGTGAGAGAAGAGAGAAAAAATTACTAAAGCAACTTATCTTAGATACCTATATAATCTGGTGTGAAATTTTCTCCTATCACTCTCGACACACTTATTTGATTTGATTTATTTATTGGAATACTCTAAAGCAACTGATCTGATTTGCGTTATTTTAAAAATAAATGATCATATTAGTTTTAGTAGAAAATATTCAATGGATCACTTCTCTTTGATTGATTAATCCAGTATTTATTAATATAATTTTTTTTTCAATATCTTTTCAGTGGTGCAGTGTAGAAGGCTTGACAACAAAATCATTTATCTTACATGAGAACATTTTAAAGCAATGTTGAAAAAATGAGAGTTTACTCAAAATCGATAGAGGATTCAAAAATCGTAACTCGGGAATCGTAACACAGATTGTAAGACTCTACTATTAATAGAAAAATATATTTTTATATATAGAATTACGTGCATATGCTCCAAAATGAAAAATAATAAATTCAAAATCATAACCATAAATTCATGACTTCACAATAATAATCATACATTCGTGAAACATATAAAAACTTAGTTCAAAATGAAAACAATATAAAAACAACTATTCTAAACATTTAAAATGTCATCAAATTCCATATAAGCATAGTCATCCTCATCCCCATCTTCATCTTCATTCTCTTCTATTTCTTAACCTTTATTCTCTTCTAATTTTTCATCAACCGGATCATAATTATAAGGACTAATAGGAACGTCCAAATCATCTCCAACACCACCACTAGGGACATACTCTCCAACATTAAGCATGACGTCTTCATCTATACGACTATTACCATCTTTATCCTCTTGCCATTCATCTTCGGATGGAATATCTTCATAAAAGTTGTAAGACGATTTTCTAACTTTCTTCTTTTTGCTCAACTTTGAGTTAACCATCACAAAAACAACATCACTCATTATTTTTTGCTTTGAATGATTCTTTTTTTTTGTGTGGACCTAAATGAATTAAAAAAATTAAAATAAGATAATCAAGACTCTTAAAAGTTGAATACTTAAAATTTTACTTACCCTTTCAAAGATACTCTAATTCCTTCCACAATCGGATGAACTGCAAGTTAAATTCAACACACGCATGGAAAACCACTGTAATTCAGGATGCGCACCTCCATAAGATCCCCACCATTGTGTTGGTGTTTTGGTTTTAAGTGCGAGTTTGGCTAAATCACTACCAGATTTCCATCCTTTTCTTTAAAGCTTTCAAGTTGATAATCAATCTTAGGACGCTTTTCCAAGTCCCGCACCATCGTGTTCAAACATTCATACATCCCTTATACAACCTCATTATCAATAGTTTATTCGGGAGCATAATGTAAGACGGGGTTAAGAAAATTTCCAGCAGCATGCAATGGTCGATGTAGTTGTTTATCCCATCTTTCATCAATAATTTTCCATATCGGTTTGTAGCTATGAAATGGGTGAAATGAATTAGATTTGAAACAAAGTGTTTGTAAATTTAAAAATAAAAGGATAAGAATAAGATAGTTACCTGCTACCGACTCCTTTTAAGTCTGATCAAATCCTTTCTTTTGCTCCGTCCATCTCTTCATAAATGTAACCCATGGTCGGTTTCTCATTTGAATCCACCATGCAAAGCATCCTAATTAGGGGAAAAGCTCCCCTTATGCAATACACAATATCTTTCCAAAATTTCTTATCAGTAACCAAACCTTCCACAAAGATCCCATCACTACTCTTTGCAAGTTTACTAGACTTCCATTCGTTTGATGTAAACATGTTTTTTAGTCATGCCGTATTTTCATACAAACACCCCAAGGTCAAATATGGAGTGGCAAAGCGAGTTAGGCCAGGTCGAATCAGAGCACCATCTTTAGTAAATTTATGCGATAATGAACTTAGACATGTTCTTGCATAAATAAAGGTTGTGATCCTCTTACCTCTTGAAATCTCCTATTTTTGTAGTGTGATCTTCTTTTCTAAATCCTCTAATATTAAGACGATATAATATTTGGCACAAGGTGTCCAATACAGCTGCTTCCACTTTTGCATCAACAAATCTTCGACTTCTTTGTAATTTACTGCATTATCGGTAACAACTTGGACCATATTATCTTCCCTAACTTACTCAACAATATCATCTATCATCTTGAATACCTTGTCTGTAGTCTTGCTTATAGTGCATCCTAACTTCTTCCAAGCAGCCTTACGTTTATCTAAATCATCAATGATCTTGCTTAAGTGATGATTTAAACCCTAAACCCTAAACCCCAAACCCTATTTCATCATCATTGATCTGATCAAAGAACTTTAGTATTCTTACCTAGTTGATTTTGTAGTTCATTCTTGAATTCCTTGAACTTTTCAAAGATTTCAGATTTGTGTTTCATTAAATACACATAACCATATCTACTGAAATCATCAATAAATGTGATGAAGTATTGAAAACCTCATATGGTTGGTATGTTCAGTGGTTCACATACATCAGTATGTATGAGGGCCAAAAGATCATTAGCCCTTTTACCTTTTCTTGTGAATAAGGACTTTGTCATCTTTTCAATTAAACAAGATTTGTATGTCTCATATGATTTGTAATCAAAAGAGTCCCAGAGTCCATCTTTATGGAGTTTGGAAATGTGTTTCTCATTTATGTGGCATAAGCGACAATGCCAAAGGTAACTTGGATTTAACTCATTAGATTTAATCTGTTTAGTATTAATGTTATAAATTGGCATTTCAAGATCAAGGACATACTGTCCATTGTTCAATTATGCAGAGACATAGAATATATCATTCAAATAAATGGAGCAACAATTGTTCTTTATTATGAATGAAAAACCAAACTTGTCCAAACAAGAAATGGGAATAATATTCCCGCTAATTGCAGGTACATAATAATAGTTCTCTAACTGAATTATTAAACCACTAGGTAAAGTCAAAACATAAGTTCTTGCAACTAAAGCAACAACCTTTGCTCCATTTTCAACTTGTAGGTCAACTTCACCTTTTGCCAAATCTCTACTCTTCTTTATCCCCTGCACATTGGTACAAATGTGAGAACCGCATCCAATATCTAATACCCATGATGCAGAAATAGATAAATTAATTTCAATAACAAAAATACTTGAATTTGAAGTCTCTACTCCATTTTTCTTATCTTCCAGGTACTTTGGGCCGTTTCTCTTCCAATGTCCAGTCTTACCACAATGGAAGCAAGTGCCCTCCTTTGCTATGCCTCTACTAGGCTTCAAAGCAGGAATAATAGGTTTAGGCTTGGCAACTTCCTTGCCTCTCCCTTTACCAACCTGCTTGGTGGGCCTTTTGTTCAACTTCTTTCCATTACTGACCATCAGAATGGACTTCCCTTTTGTCCATGTTTTTCATGTTGAAATTCAGGATAAATTGACTGAAGCTCTGTGGCAACGATTGCAAGATCAAATCAGTCGTAAGTTCCTTTCCAAGGGGAAACCCTAACCTTTCAAGATTCTCTACATACCCAATCATCTTGAGTACATGGGGACCTACAGGGGTTCCCTTAGCTAACTTGCTATTAAAAAGGGCCTTTGAAACCTGAAACCTTTCATTTCTTGTATGCTCTGGATAAAGCATCTTCAAATGTCTGATCATATCAAACGCTTACATGTTCTCATGTTGCTTTTGCAACTTCGAGTTTATGGTAGCTATCATAAGGCTGGCGGTTTCATTGGCATCATCGACATGCTTCTTATAAGAATCTCTTTCTACCTTAGGTGCAGAACTAGGAGGTTCCACTTTAGGAACAAGTGTCTCCAAGACATACAACTTCTTATCATTGCTTGAGGACAATCCTCAAATTTCAGTACCAATTCAGAAAATTTGTCCTATACAATTTTTCCTTATCAAGGATTGATCGTAAAATGTTGTTAGAGGTGTTTGTTGTCATGGTAATCTACAAGAAAAATATGAATATATATGTATCATTAAAACAACATATTCAATTAGGCCTTTAATCAAATATGCTCCCACTATTTTACTCAAACCAAATGGCCCTCACCATTTGATTCGGAAAATACCGTTGGAATATTTTTTAGTGGATCGAGATCCACATTTCACTTAATTTTAAGTGAGCGTTAGGATGATTACACAAAACTATGTTATTTAGGTAGGAAAACCTTCCAATTGTATCTCATACAACTCTCGAATATTTTCAGTTGGGTGAATAACTCTTTATTATAATCCATCATATGAAT